TCTTTCTTCTTTCTTTCTTTCTTGACAGGAGCACATCCACTTCCATACTATTAGTCATGAGAACTGTACAGATCTCTGAGTGGGGAGATGGCTGAATAGACTCAAGTGGAATTCAGATGTGAGTCTTTTCTATAGTATTACTGTGTGAATAAAACTATTCAATGTTTCATGTTGTCAAGCAACTAATAGTTGTTTAGGACATACTTGATTAGTTGACTGATTTTAAACCTTATGAGACTAAATACTTGTAAGGGGAGCTTATGGCTACCTGGGGAGTGACAGGAAAGAAATTCTCAGATTTCACCTGAGTAAGGGCAAATAAATCAGTGAAGAGAGTCCAATTTAATTGTACAAAGTTTTATGAACCTAATATATGCCAACTGCTCTTTTAGAAACTGAACAAAACAACAAAAAATGTAACATCTGCAGATTATCACAGTATCTCAGTGACAGAAGAGAACTCAGATGTCATCTAGTCTAGTCTGTAGCTGACTAAGCATTCCTTTTACAGCTATATAACAAGGAGTCATTCAGTCACTTATTTAGAGGAAGGAAGTCATGTCTTGAACAGTTCATTGAACTTTTGGTTGTATCTAAATTCATCCCACTAATGCTAAATACATTTGCCAGGATCAAGCAGAACAAGTTTAAGATCATAGGTTTAGAACTGGAAGTGAACTTAGCAATCATTCATAGGTTCTGAAAGTGGGCAATAACAACCCTGGGGGTGCTAGAATGATCCAGGGAGGTGGTAGTAGCCTCAGGTGCAATTGGGGGACATTGAATTAAAACAAGGGAGTGGTGGAAGTATAAAGAAAGAAAAGAATATAAGAAATTTTTGAAAAAAACCCATTCATACATGTTTCATCTGTTGTGTAACAGAATTAAAGTTGTAATTGATTACATTATTTTCCAAATAAACACACAAAATGCAAATTATAACCAATCAGTGATCAAGTCTGCCAACAGGTCTTAAGAAGCAAGTGTTGGCAGGTGAGAGTGTCATGCATTGTGGGGAAGTCTAGCATGCATTGGCAGGAATATGTTCATGTAATGACTTCTTTACATGTGATACTATACAATTACATGATACAATACTGTGTAATCAAAATTTCAATTCAAGAAAAAAACACAAATTTATAATATATTATAAAATTTTAGTGTGTCATTTAAAAAAACATTTTATATATTTTTTTGAAATGATGCAATAAAAAAAACATTAAAGGGTTTAATAAAATAGATTTCCAGGGGAATACTGGGTAATTTTTTTTTAAGAAAAGGGGGTGGTAGGCCAAATAAAAGTTTGGCAATGTCTGATCTAGTCATTCTTTGTGTGAGGAAACTTAGGCTTACCATAGGAGATATGACAATTAGTAGACGACAGCTGGAAATCAAATCCACATCATTTGATTTAAAGTTCAGATCACTTTCAAATACAACATACTATATGCCACCAATTCATCCCTGCAAAAAAGTTTTTTTTTTTTGCCTCAGTTATTTCATTCAGCAGTCATTTGACATGATCCCCATGCCTCTTAAAGGGGTTATATTTTAACATGGTGGGTGGAGGGATCCTCAACTTGTGTTGAGTCCCTTTTTGTTGAAGAATATTCTGTTTCATGTGCATTTATTCAGAGCTTCATAGTTTTCAAATTTCTTTTCAAATAAATGATTCCTTCCTCTCTCCTTCACTTTGTTTCATACATGTTATCCCATTTACTCTCATTTCCTTGTATAAATTAGGGAGGAAACGTCCATAACTGTGTAGCATCAGGATGACCAAACTTTCTGGTCCAGTTATTTTCATCTTATCACTGAACCCAGTGGTTATTTCTTCCTTCCCTTTTCTACTCTTTAGGGTTTTTTTCATGTTATATTCTCCTTTTAGGATGAAAAACACTACTTTGAAATTACATTTTTCTTTAGTTAAAGGTGATTTTCCATTATCCATTTTATAATCATTTTTGTTATCATTCATCAGAATGATTTCAGCTTTCATGATTATTGAATTAAGAAATACAACACTTACCAAATGCTAAGGGTATAGGTACAAACAAAATATTTATGGAGTAGATGTCAGTAATCTCAGAAGGCATTAGCAGGGAGTGTGGGGTGTTGGGACCAAAAAAAAGGCTGCTTGCAGAGCATAAGATTTGAGAGAAACTAGGAATACTGTGAGGCAGAGGTAAAGAAGGACAACAGTCCAGGTATGAGGAACAACCCACGAAAAATGGGAGAAAAGCACAGAAAAAAAAGGAAAGAAAGAAAAGATGTTTCAAATTTAACTGCATCATGGTAGTTTGCCAGCAAAGATCATACTTTTGTGTTTAGGCAGGGAAAAAAATGATCCCTTAAATTTGTGCAATGCCTTACAATTATGAAATGTTTCATATACTTTATCTATTTTTATCTTCTCAAAAGCACGACAGGAATGGTATTATAAGTGATATTATTCAAATTTCATAGAAGAGAAAATGGAGGCCTACTGTGAATGATTTTTCTGATATTACATTGCCAAGATGAGCAGAATCCCAGAATGGAGCAGCTATCTCACTCCAAATTTGATATTCTTTCCCTGTGGCAGGCTAGCCCCCACTACACCTCCCCATGCTGCCATTAAGTCAACAAATGTGAGTATTGCTGAAATGTGTACTACTCAATCACACACATTTCCCAGGGAAACTGGGAAGTTGTGAGTTGTTCCTTTTCGTCAGAAAGTAGCATTGTGTATTTTAAGTTGTGGTGAGCAATCTCTCTTACTGTCATTCGATACTTTATTTCTTATGGGGCTTTAAAAAAATGAGCAATGTAAAGGACACCACTTTTGGCATTCAATTCTCATGACAAAATATTAAGTGTTTTATTGTTCACTGGGGGAAAAATACCAAACACGCTTTTGATGTTTTCAGGAAAACTTAAATTGACTAAGAGTGGCTCTTTTATGTGGGTATGAGTATTTCAAGGTCATGTGCTGAGATTTACATTTGGGCAAGGAAAATGTTTGCTAATTGATGTCACAAATAGGCAATTAATCATGTTTTACTGTCCTTTACTGTCAGATGGGGGGGGAAGCTGTAATTTACATTTAACAAAATATAAAGAGAGTCTGCTAGTAGACTTTATCAAATTGTATATTAAAATATCAAAGAATGTGGCCAGGGTTATCAAAGCCACTCTCACTCAGGGGAAAACTGAAACTGTCAATCAACAGCCATTTTTTCTACTATCTTCAAAAAAATTCTCAATAAGCTATAAACTTACCTAACCCTGAAGGACAAATATTCCTCTGCTCACAGGATCTATTTGTTTGTGTATAGAGTAACACTAGGAAAAGAAATTAGGCAGGTAAAGATTATATTTGGCTTACACGGACACCTATTTGTGGACCCTTTTCCCCATTAACGTTGCTTCTTCAAGCCACAAATGAAAAGAAATTACTACCACCTACTGGTAAGAAAGTGGTTGAAACATTTAGTGTAAGGATTTCAATGCCAGGTCAGGTAACAAGATGTAAGAGAAGAGAGGACATAGCCTAGTGTGATATAACAGGTTGATCATTAGATTCAGACTCTGGGGACCTCAGTTTAAATATTATTAAATGCTTAAGTGACCAGAGGCTACAACTAAGAAGGGCTTTGTCCCAGAGGAAAATGTACAGAGTGCTAAGAGCCCCTTCTGCTTAGTATCTTTTGTCTCTGCCCTGACCTGGGTAGTGTCTTATGTCTATTGGATCTCCTCTTCCACTAGAATCCCTTCCTCCCTGCCCAATGCCAATTCCTTTTTTGGGGGTGTACTTATTCCCATCAAGAAAAAATATCCAGGAATACCAACAATGTGTTTCATTCTACCCAGGCATTACCCAACATGAACCTTCTCCCCCCCAGGTGAACATATTGCTATTTATGACTCTGTGTGAACCTGTGTCACCTAATCTTGAATCTCATCATGAATGTATTCAGCCCCTCAAGTGAGATTGTTTAACTTGATCACTAAAGCCCCTTCTAGTTTTAGATACACTTCTTAACTTAACCTTTCTTTGCCACTCTTTTAGCACTTTTATGCTTTGTATTGAATTTACTTATGTATGCAACATATCCTCTAAATAGATTGTAAGCTCTATTGAGAGCTGGAATCATACTTTATATAAACTTTCAATCTCACCCATAAAGAATACCACCTAAATGTAGAGTGCTGGGTTTTCATGGACTAGAAGCTATAAAGCCCATAATGCCACTCTTCTAATATAGAAAAAATTTCAAATCTGTGTGAGAGTTCAATGGGATGTCATAATGATATGATATGGCAGCTAAAGTATGTGAATAAAACATATGCAAACACATATACATACATATATATATATATATACACATCATATACACATCTTAGCTGCCATATTATGTCATCAATAACACACGTATACGTATAATATTTGTATTGTATGCAAATTATATGAATAGAATAAATTCACAAATAGGTCTGTGCATAAGTACAGTTAATAAAACATTAATTAAATTTAACTAATTAAATTAAATTTATTTAGTTATACTTAACAGAAAGTAATTAACCAACTTTAACATAATTAATTAAAATTACTTATTCATTAGACAGAGGTTTGATTTTTAAGTATAACATTGGCAAAAAATCCTCTTTTTGGAAGGTAAATAGAGCTATATAGCTGAAAGCTTTTTTTTAATCACAGTGAAATATATTATGATATGTGATTATATGAAATCACAGAGGTGAAATTCAAGAATGTTGATTCATTTTGGTGATTCTATCACATTCTGAAGATTACTTCTTAATGAGATCTTTCTGAAATTATGTGTATGTGTGTATTTACACATGTAAATATGTACACAGAGAGATTATTCATATTTTTCAAAAGATCATGGCATATAGTAGATGTATATGTCCACTATATATCTCTATCTTTACTAAATAGATAGTGTTTGGGGAAGATAGAGACATAAAGCTAGAATAGATATAGTTCAATTTCTAACCTATGCTAATTTGCCCAAGGCCTCCTGGCCTTGTAGTGGTAGTGAGAAAACCATACTGCTACTGGACTCAGTGTGGTTGTCCAATTGGCTTTATTCCTACTGCAGCTCAGAACTCCAGAGATGAAGTCATCCAATGACGTTCAGTCTCCTTAGTAACAGGGATTACACTGTAACAGGCATGTGCCACCCTTCCTAGCAACTAAGATACTTTCAAGAATCAGTCACAAAAATCTAAGAGATTCACCATAATTTCAAAAATATGTTCTTAATAAGCAACTTTTGGAATATGACAGAATAACCAACAGGATCCCATGTAATTCTGATCTCATATAATCACATCTGCCATACTGTATTTAAGAATAATTAAAAACCAAAAACATGTATATTGCTAATATTGTATTAAAATTCAAATATCTATTTGACTAATAAGTTAATTTGGTATTATTATTTTCCAGTTCTCTTAAAACTAATTAATTTTCTAAGATTTCTTCACAATTTGAGGTAGAATCCATCTTAAAACCCTAATTATTATTTAACTACTATTAGAGTTTTAATTAATTACCAAACCTGCAGATTGATCTCCCATGTCCTAATTATATACTAATAAATATTTATACTATCATCACTTTTTAATGATAAAGAGAAAGAATGGTGTTAGAGCCTGCAATGGTCAGTGAATGTTTCTTATTCTTTGACATTGATTTAATGTGTGACCAAGAGGTAATTACTTTGTCTTTCTACCATGCCCTTTTGAAAAATTGCAATAATGTCTCTGTATTATCTGTCATGGACTTCATTAATGCTTGCAAAGTGCTAATATTTCTGGTTACTCCTACTATGCTATGCTAATAAATCAAATAAAATTATCATTAATTAAAACTATAAATTAAATTATTAATTAAATAAATTAAAAGATTTTTTTATCATGGCACAGAATCAAAAAGACCTAGAAGTTTATGTTATTCTTCTGACAAATATTGGTTGTATGACCTTGACCAAGTCACTTAATTTCTTAGTTCTCCAGGCAGTTTTCTAAAACTATAAGTAACACATGGGAAGTGAATGAGTATTTACATAGTACCTACTTTTCTCCAGATACTACACTAAGCAATTTTTAAAATAGATATTATCTCATTTAATCCTCGAAACAACCCTGTAATGTAGGTGCTATTATTATCCCCATTTTTTACAGATGAGGAAACTGAGTCTCAGAGAATTTTAACTTGCCCAGGGCCACAAAACTAATAAGTGTTTGAGGTCAGATTTGAACTCATCTTCCTGATCCCAGACCCAACATTCTTTCTGCTGTGCCACTAGGTGTTTCTAGCAGATGAATTATCAATCTGCATGCATCATTTTAGAAAGTGTCTACACCAAGAAATCCTTGAATAGATTAACTCACACAAAAAGGCCGAAAAATAAAATAGAAAGATAAAATAAAACAAAGTGTTCATTTTAATAGTATTAAATGCAACTTAAAGGCCAGAGTAACATAGTAACCTAAAAAAATATTGTTTCCCCATTTAATGGCAGCTCTGTATTTTTGCTAATAATAATAATACACCTTCTTGTGACAGTCAGATTGATAGTTTTCTTTTACAAAGTAAGATCTCTGGCTTTGAAAATGCCAGGAACTTTTTGTGGCTTGTAGTTCATATGACAATGATGGAGTACCTACTTAAGCTGGCAGTATTCATTGGTGAGTAGATGTGTAGATGAATATCCTTGGGAAAAAATAGCCAAATTAGTCTCCAGTACTTAGCCTCATTTGAATTGTCTTTATTAAAACACTGATTAATAAATAACTATAAAAGTTTATAGTAGAGCCTAATATGAATATGATAGGAAATAACTGACAATAGGATTTTAAGGACGGAGTTTGGAAAATGTCTATCGATCTAGCTTCAGAGAAATATATTGATATCCATCTCTTTTTCATCTTCTTGCAAATAACAATAAGCTAAAACAAAAGCAATTAAAATATAGTTCTTGTTTCACAATTTTATCTGTTAATTAGCTTTATACAGAATTACTCCTTCACACTGAAGTACTCATGTGTAATTAATCTCAAAGGAACAGGAAAAGTGAACAAGTCTAGCAAGTTTATTCAGAAATAGCATCAATCATAAGTGATCTCATTAGCCTCAAGAGCAGCATTTTCCCTGGGTTCTGTTAAAAGAGGTAGGGGGTGTTGACTTCATTTGATTAAATATTAATTTTATTGCATTTTGCATAAGGTTATCAAACAATCATTTTGGCCAACAGAAGCCCTTTAGTACTATTGAATGATATCTTAAAAAAAGCAAAATCTATAGCTAGGAGAAGGATATAATAATGGTTACAATAATTACAGCTTACTTTTATAAAGATATATATATATATATATATATATATATATATATATATATATATATATATATATATATATATCTACACATACACATACACACACACACACGTGTGTGTGTGTGTGTGTGTGTGTGTGTATCATCTCCTTTGATCTTTACAGAATCCCTTGAGGCAGTGCTATCCATATTCCCATTTGACAAATTGAGAATTCAAGTGACTCATCCCAGGGTCACATAGTTGGAAATTGTTTATGGCAAAGTTTTAAGCTATGTTTTCCTGACTCCAAGTTCAGTACTCTTTAGTAACATAGGCATTATGCTGAATTCAAGTCCTCATCATTGATGGAGTTACTGTAATACCTTGTAACTGATCATCTACTCTATTCTCACCCCTTTTCTCTCTCCCCCACCCTTCATATGCCTAGGTCAAAGACTAATGACCAATGAAGTCTTTTACAGATATAGAGTTATGATCTTATAACCATCTAATGCCCCTGCTAAATAAGTTTAGGTGCATATATAGTCTATTATTTGTCAAAATCCTTCACAATATGTTGTTAGGCTACTTTCCTGGATTTTTTTGAACATTATTTCATTTTATCTTTCCCACTTTCCAGACAATCTGACCTATTGACTTTTTATTTTTCCTTCAATATCTCCTAGACTTGGGAGCTGGAGCCAAAATGGCAGACAAAAGGCAGAGACTCACTTGAGCTCTCCCTCAAACTCCTCTAAATATCTTTAAATAATGACTCAAAACAAATTCTACAACACCAGAAGCCACAAAAAGACAATGAAAAAATTTCCAGCCTAAGACAAATTAGGTAGCCTAAAGATTTGTTGCACCAGGCTAGCGCAGTCCAGTGCAGGCCATACCAAGACAGACTGGGCCCCAGAAAACCAGGAGCAGGCTTGAGGGCAACTGAATCAGTGGCAGCACTGGTGATTTGTGGACCTTTCAACCCACAGGCATGAAGGGGATCAAACAACTGATTAGAAAGAGATTATAAGGATCCCTATGCTGGCACCAGCAGCAGGACTCTGTTGAACTGCCTATACTTGGATCTGGGTCATAGTCTTGGGTACTTAGTCTCAGGGTAAGGTATGATGTTCTTGATTATGCAATGCTTGTTCTTTTCAATCACTGGTAATCTTTCCAAATATTCTTTTTTTTTTTAAATGACTAATTCCAGAATTTTCCCAATAATGGAAGTCCAGCTTCCTCATATACAGTTTTTAGACTCTATCATCATCATCATCATCATCATCATCATCATCAACAACAACAACATCATCATCGACATTATCAGTTTCTTCTTTCCCTTGTTGTTCGTTTTGTACTTTTCCTCTTTTTTCTTCTCTTCCTTGTCCTTCTTCCTCTTCTTGTTTTTGTTCTTGCTCTTGTTCTTCATCTTCTTCTAAAATTGGGACATTTGCCCTTTTCAATTTTTATGGTCCCTCTCTTGTTTTTCATGATCTTTCAAATGTCACTAATAGAGACACATCACTCAAACCTCCCAGCCATTTCAACCCCTGAGGGTGTATATACTGGGCCAGGTGAATTCATTTAAGATTAGGTGTTCTCTTACTGCTTCCTTACTTATCTTGTGTATCAGCTCCTTGAGAGTCATTTGAGTTTCAAATTGCTCCCCAAAATGATTGGATCAGCTAACAACTCCACCATTAATTCATTAGTTTTCCACATCCCTTCCAACATTATCATTTTCCATTTCTATCATCTTAACCAATCTGATAGATGCCAGGTGGGACCTCAGAACTCTTTTAATTTGTATTTTTCTAATCAACAGTGATTTAGAGCATTTTTTATTCACATTACTATGAATAGCTTTAACTTCTTTTGAAAACTGCCTGTTCATATCCTTTGACAATTTTCTCAATTGGCAAATGACTTGTATTTTCATAAATTTAACTCAGTTCTCTATATGTTTGAGAAAGGACCCCTTTGTCAGAGAAACTTGCCATAATTTTTCACCTCAGCTTCTTGTTTTCTTTCAAATTTTAACTTTATTTGTTTTATTTAAAAATAAATCTCTTTAATTTGATATAAGGCAGCTAAGGAGCACAGTGGACAGAGTACTGGATCTGGTTCTTCCTGAGTTCAAATTTACCCTCAGAAACTTACTAGCTGGGTGAACCTGGATGAGTCACCTAACCCTGTTTGCCAGAGTTCCTCATTTGTAAAATGAACTAAAGAAGTTAATGGCAAACTATTCCAATATATATGTCAAGAAAACTCCAAATGGGTCACAAAAAGTCAGACATGACTGAAAGTGACTGAACAACAACAATTAAATTATCCATTTTACATCTCACAATGCATTCTATTCCTCACTTATTAAGTCTTCTCTTACCCATAAATCTGAAAGATAAGCTATTTCATGCTCCCCTAATTTGCTTATGATATGACCATCAATGTCTAAATCATGTATCCATTTTAACCTTATCTCACTATATGCCATGAAATGTTGGTCCATATTTGATTTCTGCCAAATTGCTTTTCAGTTTCCCTAGGAATTTTTGTCAAATACTAATTTCTTGCCCCAAAATCTTGAATTTTTGCATTTGTCAAACTTTGGATTACTATGGTAATTTACTCCTGCGTATTGTTTACCTAATCTACTTCAATGATACAGCACTCTATTTCTTAGCCAGCAAATTGTTTTGATGATTATTTCAGTTTGATATCTAATACTGCTAAGGCACCTTCTTTCACATGTTTTGTTTTTCCATCAATTCCTTTG